AAAATACGGAATAGGGAAATTTGAAAAGGGTTTGGTGGAATGAAAGGGTATGTTAATTTAAAGAAAAACCTTTTTGAGCATACAAATGTTTAGAAGTTTGGGTTTGGGGGTCAAGGGTTTTTTGGCTATCAAGGGGCAGATTTTACCAAATTTTTTGGGCTTTTTTTTGGTGCAAATTTTTCGTAATTTATCTAATAAGTTTAACAAAGAATTTTTTGAGGGTTTTAAAAATCCTGTCGGAAAAAAATATCATACGAGATAGAAAAAGGGTATAAAGGTTTTTTGAAAAATATCCATTTACAAAGAAAATTAAAGAAAAAATTTTCTTTCCCAAAGGGTTTGGTTTTTTTCCCCGCTGTAAATTTTATCTCTTCATGGCGTTCTCCGGCCCGGGAAACTAGTGAAAAGATTGGACCGGGTTTGGGAAAAGGAGAGGGTGTTTTGGGGATTAATGTTAAAATGTGATGTAATTTGTACATTTTTATAAAACATCTGTAAAAAAATATCGATTCCCTTTATTTAGAAAAAATTTTAAATTTTTTAAATAAATTGACTGAGCTACATGGGTTTTAAGATAAAAATTTTTCAGGTAAATTTTTTAAATTATCAATTGGGTTATGTTAAGCCTTTTTATTAGTTTCATTAACTTTTAAATCTACTTAAAAAAAAGCTATGAATATTTCATGAAATATTTTTTTTTTAAAAAATCAAAAAATGGTAAAATTTTTGTTAAAGCTGGGTTTCCTATAATCTGTTTTCAGGGGTATTTTCTGGTTTTTAGGACAAAAGTTTTTACCCCAAGGAAATTTTCCCGTGTAAATTTAAAAAACAAATGCAAACTGAGAAATAAAACATGCCCCGAACAAAATATTAAAACATTTGCGTCCCAAATTATGTAGAGCTTAAAAAACCCGCTTTCCTGAAAAATTGGGGCATCTGCATAAACCAATTTCGTTTTTAGTCCTTTTTAATTATACATTTCCCCTTTTTTTATGAAGTTTTTTTGGGGAAATTTTTTCTTAAAAAAAAAAAATCAAATTTAACAACCAAAAAAATTTAAATGATAAAAGTCCCGCATAATATAAATTTTAGCTTAAAAAAATAACTTTTGGGATAACAAAGCTTTTTGGAATTTTTTTTGGAAAAAAGTTTTTAAAACCTTTTTAAAGATAGGGGGAAATTTTGCAATATAAAAACTGTGAGTTGTAAAAGGCAATGTTTTTAAACTTTCTTTAAATTTTTGTTTTATTGGGTGACCCCAGCAGTCAGATGAGGGCATTTCATTGACATGGACTGTGTGCTGTTCTAAGCATTACATATGGTTTTTTAAATTCTAAATATTTATTTCAGACAAGATTTTTCAATTGAATTGAAGTTACCCCCCCTTTGACGAAAATGGGTTTTAAAATCAGTTCAGACTTTTTTTTCCCTGAATTTCTGTCAAACTTTTAATCAACTTTTCCAAAAAATGTTTGATTTTTTTTTAATCGCAAAAAGACAAATTTAAAGTTGACTACTTGTTTAAAATTGTTGGATTCACAGTTTTTTTAAATTTTTCTCGTATGAGTAAATTTTTTGGAAAAAAAGTTTTAAAAATCATAAACTTTTTGCCATTTAAAAAAAATCTTTTTTAAAATTTCCTGCTAATTGATGGTCAGAGATACAATTTCTTTTCTGATGCTTGAATAAAACGATAAAATTAATTATTCTGTAATTCTTAAAATAAAAAAACTTACTTTCACAGACTGTTTAACTGATATTTATGGGCCCGCAAGTCTTTCTTAAAAGTACAGTCCCCGTAATTTATTAAAATTAATTTTTTAAATAAAAATTAAAAAATGTTTTATATTTTCATAATCTGTATAAATCAGGGGGCTTAAAATATAAACAAAAAATTTTTCAAAATAATGCAAAAAATGCGGGAAATTGGGACCCCTCGGGGAGTAATATTTTTAAGGAAAACCTAAAGCCCTTTACACCTGAAACCCCATTTCAAAGTTACATAAATTGTTCTCTGTGGACAAATATATGTCATATAACAATTGTTTTTTTATTCTTCTTTCATCAAAAAAGTTTTTTATTTTGTGTAGCTGTAAGATTGACAATTTTTCCGGCTATAAGATTATACTAATTTTTATTTACTAATTTAAGTTATTATTTTTCAGTTACAAAAATAAATGGCAAAAAGATATGAATGAAATTTGGTTTTTTTGAAAACCCAGGAGATACTATAAAAAAAAATTAAGAAAAAAAAGTTTTGAAACAAATTGGAGTAAGTTATATAACTTTTATTTTTTTTTTAGCTGTTTTGGTCATATAATTTTGTATAATGCATTAATAAACCAAAGTCATGTCACAAGTGCTCTTGGTTATTTTTTAGGGGGACCAATTGGTGACAGTGGGTGGCCTTTCGTCTTTTTTTTTTTTTTTTTTTAAATGAATTTTTTTGAAATTATGCCATTTCCCCCAAAAAGATAATATTGAAACCAATTGTATGTTCCTGGCGAAAGTGATCAAAGTTGTGCAAAAGTTCCCCAACCTTATTATTTTTTTACCCCCCTGGACCAGGGGGGGGTGTTGAAAGTAGGGATAAATTAATCATAAAATTTTTCTCATCTTAAAACCCCTGGTCGTTTAATAAAAGGGTTAATTTAAACAAATTTTTTGATAAAAAAACACATTGTTAAAAAGCTTTGTAACCCAATTTTTTCTGTTATTTTCATAAAAAGATGGAAAAATATTAACAAAGGGGGGAGCTGTAGAAATTTAGTTTCAAACAGCCCAGCTTTGGGATAATCTATGGTTTAAAACGCTCAGAGGCCACTGATTTCAAAATTTGTTCCGGGGTACGCTTTCTTATTTTCGGAAAACAACAGGAAAACCTGGGCGAAGTTTTTTAGGGGCTGTAAAAAAATTAGTTATGAGGTTTGTTTTTTTAAAATTAAAATTTTTTTTTCATGGGAGGTTTTTAAAAAAGAATCAGGAAAAATGACATAACGATAAGTTTTTGTTTTAAAAATAAAAAGCCTTTAAGTGTTTTAAATTTTTTTCTTGCAAAAAATGCCCTTTTATGATATTTTATAATTTGAAACATTACAAAGTGTGAAGACAGAAAATTTATTAGAATCTGTTTTTGTATTAAAAAAACTTTTAGGAAAATGGAAAAAAGGGCCAAATTTACATAGGTATATTAAAAGGGAAATAAATTTTTTTTAAAAGCATTTTAATTTTTAATTACTAATTGTTTCAGGAAAACCGTCCCCAAAAGAAATATTCGGGTAAGGGTGATAGCGAAAAAAAAGAAGGGTTTAATCTGGGCGTAAGTTAAAATTACGTTAGTTCCCAAATTTTTTTTTTTAGTGATCGCAGGAAATTTTTAACTTGCATCAGTAAAAAGGAATTTTAATTAAAATGATTTGTAATGGTTTCCCAAAGTTTTTTTTTTTTAAATTTTTTCTTGGGTTTTTTCAATTTTTTTTTTTTTTTTTTTTTTTTTTAATTTTTTTTTTTTTTGGGCTTTTGGAAATAAAATTGTTTACTTTTTATGTTTCCTTCTAAAAAATGAAAAATCATATATATTTCGGGGAAAAGGCCTTTCAAGTTCTTTGTTCTTATATACCCATACCAAACAGTGTTTATTTAAAAATTTATTGGGCCCAGTCATGGCGAGTTTGTTTTATATTATGCAAACTATAAATGGGCCCTGTTTTTTTTACATATGTTAACTATGTGGCAGTGGGGGTTTTTTACATATGTTCTGATTCATTTGGGAGTGTTTGTTTTTCCCTTTTTTAAACCCATACCAAAAAAAGCAAAGTTTTTTTTACATATAGCCGTGCCCTGAAAAACCGGGCCTAAAGGGTTTTTAGACCGACATTGAAACCCGAACCCGCCTTGGGGTGTTTAAGTTTACATATGTGTTTGCACTGGGGATGCTAATTGTCATAAAGAAATTTTAAAGACTTTTTTTGCTTTTTATTTTAAAAAAAAGGTAAGTATAACTAAACCATACTTTTATAATAAACATTTACATTTATTTATTTCAGTTTTAGAAAAAGAACAAGTACATGTAGAGTGCTGGATTTCAATGACAATAGACCCAAGTTTCGCAATGACACTGTGTCATACACCGTCAGAGAGGTTAGTAATGTTTAGTAGTTACCAATCCTGCATTGTGCCATGGATTTTAGAGCTTTAGATGGGCACAGCATTTTCAGTATCTGTATTTATATCTGTTTGCCAAGGTTATAACTGTAGGGTTTGAAAATTGGCCATCTATAAAATGCTACGCATGTATAATCCATTTTCACCTGTGCTAAATTTTGATGTAAGAGAAGGTTTTCAATCAGTCATTCCTGTCCGAACATAAGATTTCTGGTACTACTGCATTTTTCTGTCCAATGAGATTTTATGTTGTATTACACATGTCCATGCCTTAGAATGTCAGAAAATGCAGTTATTTGGGGTGTTTTTTAAAAAAAACCCTTTTTATTTTACGAAAGCATGTTTTCAAATTTTTAATGTGGGTTTTTGCTGCCTTTTATTTTGGTTTCATTTTAATTATAAAATTTGTTGCCAAACAATGTAAATCTTTGTTTTCCCCAAACCCAAAGTAATATCTTTGTTGCCAAGTAAAGTTTTTTAAATTTTGTTCCAAACAATTTTTTTCTTTGTTGCCAAGCCCAAAAAAAAATCTTTTTTTTGCTTTTGCAATGTAAAAATCTTTGGTATGCATAGTTCAAAAGAAAAAAATAGTTAAAAAGTTGGGTTTAATTGCCCAAAAAAAAAGTTGATAGAGGGTTAAAAGTTAAATTTTAGGGGCAGTTTAATTTTTTTTCTTTTTTTTTAAACAGTTTTTTAATGTTGAACATTTTTTGAAAAACCCCCCTAGATGATCCAATCAGTGGCACCCTGGCATAAAAGAAAAATATAATGAATTTATTTTTGATAACGTACGTTCCCGGGAGGTGTAAAATATTTTAAGAGAAGGTCCTTTTTTTGTACTATAAGCAATGTGTATTAATTTTAAGATTTATAATTGTTTTTTTTGTCCCTTTTTTTTTAAAATTTTTAAATTTTTAACAAAGGGAAAATCAAATGATTTTAAGGGAAAAGGACCCTTTAAATAATTGTTTTTATATTCCCAAAAAATTATTGACTTTCAATAAATTTTCCCGTAATCCAATAAATGTCCCTTGATTTAATCCCTTGTCCTTTATTTCCCAAACAAATGTTTCCCTTTTTCGGAATCAAATGTATTGATTTCAATCCATTGTCCCCCTTTATTTCCAAAACCCAAAAATCCCTTTACTGCAAACAAATTTTATTGATTTAATCCCTTGTCCTTTTTCCAATCAAAAGTCCAATATCCCAAACAAATTTTCCCTTTTACTTTCAATTCAAATGTCCCTTTATTTTTCCAAAACCATTGGCCTTGCCACCAATTTGTCCCTTTACTCTTCAAATGTCCTGACTGCAATCAAATTTTACTTGATTAATCCCTTTTGGCCCTTTTACTCCCAAACAAAAGTCCCCATAAATCCCAAACAATGTCTTTTACTGGAATCAAAAAAGTTCCCCTTTATTCCCAAACCATTTGGCCTTTACTCCAAACAATTGTCCTTTTACTCAATCAATTTTCCCTTTACTCCAAAAACAAATTCCTTTTATGGAAAATTTTTGTCCCCTTTACTCCCCTTTTATTGTCCCCCAAAAATTTTTGGGAGGAATCCTTTTAGCAGCATTAAAAATTCTTTTTAAAATGTGAGGGAAAACCCAGGAAAATCTTGGCTTTTTAAGGGTTTTAAAATTTTAGTTATGAAAATTGCAAAAAAATTGGGGAAACGCATAAAATAAATTTGTTTAGTGTAAAGGGAAAATTTTAAATTTGCTTTTTAAAATGTGATGGACAGAAAAAAAAAAAACTTGAAAAAAAGGGGTTTAGAGACTACAAATTAAATCTAAATTCAAAAATAGGAAATTAATTTTGCAATGAAAAATTTTTTTAGAAAAAAAACTTTGTACTCAAATTAAAAAGCAAACATTAAAGTGGAATTTCCCCCTTTGTATCAAACTGGCTAACACATTTGAGGGAAATTTTTGACAACCCAAAGTACTGTTTTTGGGTGGCTTTAAATTTAAGCCCTTTTTATTAAATTTAAATCCCTCACCCTTAAAAAGGACTGTTCCCAAAACTTTTAATTTTTTTAAGGGGGTTGTTTTTAATTTATAATTTAAAAGTGATGACCCTGTTTACCTCTCAACCGATGGTTGTGAGTTCAAGTCCGACATGGATCACGGTCATGTTTCCTCACAAGACACCAGATCAGGTTACAATCAAGAAGCCGACTAGAAAGCTTAAAATGTATGTTTTTGGAACTTGTTTTACAATCGAGCTTAAGTTAAATAATAATGCTAAAACTAAATTTTATGGGTTTTTTTTATTTACACAGGAAGAAGTGCCATGCAGTGATAGGTTTAGGCTGAACGCTACTGCATTAAACGAAAAAAAGTTTAATGGTGATTTGTATGTCCTTAAACCGCTGGATTATGAAGTGGCCGGTGTATTTCAAGTTGTTATAACAGTTGATGTAAGTAAAACAATTTCTTGTAAAAAGTTTGCCAAACAGTTTTAAAGATTGGATATTCATTAATACAGTACGCTCAGCGCGACTTTTTCAAAACCCGCGTGACCCCGCGGATGAGGTTTACTGCGGACGAAAATTTGCTCAGATATTGTCCGCGTGACCCCGCGGACAGAAAATTTTCACCAACCGCGGACATAAATCGGCGGCTGAAACCGTTTCCCCCGCGGAACGCAGTGTAAATTGCGGAGGAACGCGGCGGTCAAACACCGGTCAACGCGGTTGGAAACCTTAAAATTTTAAAAATTAGTTACTGTATTTAAACATCAGTATATGTACGTACTGTAACATTAACTGTACATATAACTATATGTAAAATTTGTTTGTGTTGTTTTCTTTTTTGTTGTAATAAAAAGTACATGTACAAATGCAGTGTATTTCTTGTTCTTCTTCTTGTTATTGTGTTGGGTAATGTATTAATATGTATTCGACATCAAGATAAATCATTGTCGTCGCAACTTCATGGTAGTGAGAAACTTAAAGTCAAAATAATGAAAAATTCGGCATATGACATTTATGAAAAAGATACTACAACAAATTTATATGCCAAGCTTTTGTTTCTTATTTAAAAACTTTGAAAACGTTACCCTCAACAATTTATTCAGGCAATATTCCAGGACGTCTCTTTCAATTGTCAGATGCGTTTTACTGTTTCTGTTTATTTGCATGTTGATCATAAAATCTTATATTTTATTTGGAACATTAAAAGAAAGCGTTTATTTCACCAAAATATACATTCTAACACTATCGGAAATTTTTCTATATAAACAAAGAAGGCCCGAAGCGTGCATTATTCTACAACAATGCACTCTCCGTTCTTATTATCTCCCTGTGTATTTTCACATTGAGGGCGCCATTTTGTTTGAAAAATCTGATAAATAAAAACAATTTTTTTGTCGAATTTTGTTGTGAAAACTATCTAGAATGAAAGAAAATAGTTTAACTAAGAAAATTAATCCGAATACCAATATCTTTAAATCAGTCGTTAACGGTGTACTGACGTTTAAAGTGTTGTTTACGTGACGTCACAATGTAGCGCCTAAACAGCACGTGCAAAACAATCAAATCGAGAACGCTATTTTTATGTCGCAAACGAGTTAAAGTTTTATATTTATTTCACTTTTAATAATTTGTATTTCGCTTGAAAAATTATAGAGTGAAATAAAATAAACAAACACAATTTATAAACGTTTTCAAAATTCGTTATTCTCAAAATGTTTCTACACAGGGTAGATTTAACGACCGTTTTTTTTTTCAACCCACTGGAACAGCCTTTAAAGAACGTTTCTATTGGCAACTCTGAGGTGAAAACAAATTTAATCACCAAACATAAAGTCCAACTTTATAATGATAATTATATTTTTTCTTGACGTGTTAGAATGGAAAAAGATATTAATTATTCGTCCATTATTGTATAATAATGCACGTTTTTCGTTCAAATGCTTTGTAATTAATCACTCAGGCCTATCGGCCTTCGTGATTATATTACTACGCATTTGAACTCAAACTGTGCAATATTCTACAACAATGCACTAAGAATTGATATCTATTTCCTAATTAAATGATATTCTTGATTTATCTAATTACAGGTGTGAGCGTAATGTATATGTTTTGAAGTTTGTATCAACTGTTGAAGTTTATTTTCATTTTTGTTTTAGTAGTTTGTTTGTTTGTTCTTTTTTATTTTTTTTTATAGTTTTTTTTTGCAGAATTTTGTTAAACTTGACGTTATACTTTTTGTTATTTTATTACGAACAGTATGCATGTACATTCAGATACTGGCGAATCCAATAGTCAATAGTTTTTGTCTGGAATAAAGGGAAACTCCTTTTAGACTCTAAATTCCTCTGAATTTGATTAAATTTTTCTAAACCCACTTGTGTACAAGCCGTACAATTTCAAGTTTATCAAAATTGTGTCACTTTTTAAACCATTTTTTAAGTCACATTATAACGACCTTTTTTAAACTTTATTTATATAAAGAGCGATGTAAAACTCCCAATTAATTTAATATAAAGGAGCGATGTAACTCACTTAATTGTAAACATTTACACGTTATTAAAAGAATAAAAGTCTTAAACTCATAGAAACTAATAGAAAACTCGTTTAATATCTAACTAAATTTTAAAGACGCAAATTAAACTTTTAAAAGCATTTAAAGAACTCTCTTTGTGTAGGCACAAACGAATTATGAAACATTTATGTATATAATACTACTGTTTAAATACATATTAAGTAGCGGCGACATGGCCCCTTTTTCACACATACAATATCTGACAATATAGAAAAATATGACAATATACAATATCTGACAATATACAATATCCGACAATATCTGACATGATGGCAAAGAGAACCTTTTGAATTTGTGTCAAACATATATACGGTATGTACAGTATACATAAAACGTTTTTGGCAAGTGTCATGCATTTTCTCATGTCCATTTTCGACGGGTTTTTACTGTAAAAAAACACAAACAAACAAGTCTACCGTTTTTAAAGAAATAATTGCATTTCAAATAAAATCTTATAGATGTTTAAATATCTTTTTCTTTTATTTCTAATATATGTACATGTATTTTATTTATGTCTTGTCTTGTATTCACACTCATCGACCTCTTACAGGACATGTACTGTAGCGTCAGTCATCATTGAGATATCAGCACAAATGCCCTTTTTTTACTAAGTATCATATTTATGGCTCCCATATAGTTCAACAGCAATAATACTTTGAGAACCACAAGGAATGAAAAAGTAAAGATGACAGTGATAAATGATGATTTCAGTTGTAAAAATATTGGTATGTGGACGAATAGTTTTGTGGACGTTTTATAACAAAAATATTAAAAACAACAACAAAAACAGGTACAGTTGTAATTATTTTTATTTCAAATTCCGTTCAAATAATTTTAACGTATAATAACATTTAAGGAGACGATTGTGATCAATTTTCAAGTCATTGTGTAAAAAAGATGACGTTAAAAAATAATAAAACGTCTATTATTTTTGGAGGATAATTTATACTGACCAACTGACCATGGCGTTCCCCCGCGGGAAACGGGTGACTGATTTTATCGATGAAAGAGAACGGTCGTCAGAATTTTGTTCGCGGTGGAAACAACTGAACACCGGGGATCGCGGGGTAATAAGGCTTCTCATCGCGGACGAACCCCCGCGTTTGTCCGCGATAAAAAAAAATCGTCCGCGGTGGTATCGCGGAAAAAGCAAAACCCGCGGTGAGCGTACTGTACACATTTTCTAAGTTAGTTGACATGGATTAATTGTAATTAAATGTTTGGCATTTTGCCAACTTGAATACTTTTACAAGCAGTCAAAAAATATTGTTATGATTTGTAATTTGTAATATTTGAATACTTATGTATGAAACTAATCACCCTATAATGATGAAACTTGCCTGGAATGACCCATTCTTGAAGCTGTTGGTTTCAGTATACATATACAAGCTTTTAAATGATAATCACTTTTTTTAACGATGCAAAAACATTATTTCATTCACTTTTAGATTATGCTTGAAATTAGTACAATATTTGTGTGTGTTTTTTTGTCATTCCATTCCAGTCAAACCTGTCTTAACCAGCCAGGTGGCTGCTGAATGGAGGATCAAGTTATTATTAAAATATATTCTTTATTTTAATACGTAAAAGTATACTGTGCTATGATAATGTGCTTGTGTGGTATATCAAATTTATTTTAATAATGAATAGAGTATACTGATTCATCATCATCATCATTATCATCATCATCGTTATCATCATCATCATCATCATCGGTTTTCAACCATTCACAATGTAAGAGATTAATGGTTTAATTTGTACACCCATTCCAACATTGTCATATCAATCCTTGCGTCAAAGCTTTACATGAATGTAACACAGATAAACAAATGCACTCACGATTGTTAATTTGTCAGATATAATATATTGTGGCTTTTTTTCAGGATGGCTACTTTAATCAACGATATGATGTTACTGTCAATGTTATAGATGAACAAGATTTGGGTCCCATTTGGACTGTGCTGCCAAACAGGATCACCATTCTAGATCAACCAGCGTTGTCACTTGGTGATACAATGGTAAGCTTTCAAACCATGTGATGGTCATGATGTTAAAGTCATGTGGCACATAAGAAATTTATGACGATACCAAAGAGTAGTATATAAATATCAGATCTCTTTATTCTCTCTTATTCCTATTAGTCAAGTACAGTTAAACTTGTCAACAAAGGCCACCAAGGGGAAATTGTAAAGAGTGGGCTGTATATAAATGAGCCGCGTCATGACAAAACCAACATAATGAGTTCGCGACCAGCATGGATCCAGACCAACCTGCGCATCTGCGCAGTCTGATCAGGATCCATGCTGTTCGCTATCAGTTTCTTTTCTTGTTATAGGGTTTGTAAGCGAACAGCATGGATCCTGATCAGACTGCGCGGATGCGCAGGCTGGTCTGGATCCATGTTGGTTGCAAACCCATTATGTTGGTTTTGTCGTGACACGGCTCAAATATTGATCAGATCTCTGTATTACAAGAATAAAAAACAACAGTTTTTGGTAAGTTTCCTAAAGTGTCTCAAGTTGAAACAATGTAACCATGATAAGTCAATTGTAACAGGCAAAGTTCCATGACTTATTTGTATACTATCGATGCACCTCTATTATTTAGGTATTCCAAATATTTTTTTTCAAGTATACTTTAATTTTAAAGGCCCATTAGTTTTTTTTTTGTTTTTTTCATTTCTCAAAAGCTTTATACTTTTTGGTTTCTTGTAATAGTTTCCAAAAAGTTTCTCATTGATCAGGTATCAGAACCATTGTTTGCTTCTGTTTTCTTTTGGCAATAATGGTACACTTAAACTCCTTTGATATTTTGTATGAAAGTCAAATTACATATTGCTACTTTTGTGACAAATCATTCTACTATCAGCTAATATTTGAAGGTGATATGCGCTGTTAAACCATTATTTACATGTACTTAAACTAATGATAGGAAGAAAAAATATTCCTTCCTGACAGGGTCTTTCAAATAGAAAATTCTATTTGAAAGACCCTGTTTCTGAGGCATAATGTGCCTTTAAGCATCTTTGACCCATTTTAACAAAAAGTGCATGTTTCAGGTAAATTTATTTGCCTCAAAAAATAATGAAGCTATTAAGTTCACCTTTATATGTATAAAGAAGTGGTTCCATGCTAAAAGCAGTAGTTATCAAATAGCATAAGCATAAGATTATAATCTGTTCTTGTTGCTATCTTTAAACATTCTTTTAGTAAGAACTTTTTAATTCACGAAGATACTTGCAGCATTTCCTTTTTTTATTGACAGTATACTCAGGAAATAGAGATTCAAGCTGAAGACCAGGACACTGGAAAAAGGGCTATATTCTATGAAATCATACCAAGTAAGCATTTGCTAAGATTTCACCAATCGAATATTATAGCTGTTAGTGATTTTCACCTAACATTTGACATCGGGGATGATTATGCACCTCATTTATGCGCAGGCTGGTCTGGATCCATGCTGGCCGCACTTAAACGCATTTTGTTGGTTTTGTCGTGACACGGCTCAAATATGTTATTTTTAGTTAAATTGTTTCAGGTAAATGTCAAATCAAAAGAAAGTGGAAAATGAAATTTGCCAACAATAAAATACATAAACAAAACATGTGCAGGCTGGTCTGGATCCATGCTGGCCGCAAACGCATTTTGTTTGTTTTGTTGGCAAGGCTCAAATTTAAGTAAATGTGTTATTGTAAATCTTTTAACTCTCTCATTATTATGAATTTTAGGTGATTACCAAGGTATACCTATACAGAATGTATGGGAAATAAATAACAGAACTGGCATCATAACAAATAAAGTTAATCTGGATTTGGAAGATACAACTTACTTTCGCTCATACGATCCAAAGATTTTGCGAGATTTGTGGCTAATTAGGGTGAAGGTAGGTACCAGTAAAGGAATTTTATAATACTGTCTAAATGTTTTCGAATTACCTTTCTTTCTTTTTTAATTTGCCTTGATTTGCATGAAACTTTTCAGTGTTTATTTTGTGCCTATATTTTCTTATAAAGATAATATTTTAGAGGACAATGAAATTGTCTAAGTCTTTGTACACCTTGACATTGGATTTGGTTTTAGACTAGATGTATGTTTAAGTGTCAGAAATTACACAATATCTGGGCAGCCTGTTACAGTAAGAGATATTGTGTCTGTTTTTACCTGAAATAATGCATCTGTTGGGCATCTGAGTGCTTTTTAGATACCCATGAGAATCTGTATCTTTCGAAACAAGGGTAAGAAAATCAAAACTTCTTGAACAATAATGAGATCATGTGCAGAGTGAAGGTTTACCCTCTAGTGTTCATATATTTGAATAGTAAACAACTATAAATTTATATGTATATTGAAAGTCTCCTAAGCTACAATACCTAGAACATAGACAAATCAGAGATAGGTTAGAATTCATCTTGGTGGTGACTTAGTTTATATAGACTTATTTATATGAATACATTTAATAATGTTCTTGTAGAAAACTACAATGCCCTGTATCTTAGATACTTGACTGGTAACAGTGGCAATATAATAAAACCACTACACCTTGCGTAACTGAAAGACGATTTTGATCAATGTGAACAGCAAGATGTAAAACAGAACATATATAAATTCACATTAAAGTGTTTCTTACATTATATTTAATTATTTAATTCTCTTGATAGGCATGTGAAATAATAAGTGAAAATCCATTTAAAATTGGGAATGATTCTGAGTGCACAACTATCGGTACTGTTCCGGTTTCAATCAAGGATGTGAATGACAACCGACCAATATTAGACAGAGGGCTTTATGTTTATAATTTATTAGAGACTGCGCCTACTGGATTTATCCTGAATGATCCCCCGATAATACCTTTTGATGGAGATACGGTAAATTTTACTTTACCTTATTTTAAACTTGCATATTTTTTATAAGTTTGATAAAACCTCATATGGAATACAATTTTCAATATGGGATACATTGAAGAAAAGGCAAACTTTACATTTCTTTAAAGTTTAAAAAGATATATATCTCCTGCATAAATATTTCTTTGAAATAATACTATTATAATTTCCCTAAAGGGTGAATTGTTCGAAACTCTGTTACAAATTCTTTATTAGGTAAAAACAATGTTAATAAATATCTCTTATCTTTTTACTGGTTACATTTTTTTTTTGTTATGATCAACTGTAGTCTATTATGTAAAAATGCATTTCATAGAATTCAACTTTAAAATTATTAAAGTTTTATTTGTTAATTCTGAACCCTTTCTTACTTTATTTAAAGTTTTTATATCTGCTTCTTATTACAACAGGAATTGTACAACGCATTCACTAGTGTGTTTCTTGAGAACAGTGAAGAGTTTGAGGTCGGCGGCATACCAACAGCACCTCATATTCAAGTGAAGACTTCCGACTTGATTGATTATGACAGAGGACCGAAGCTATATCGACTGACTGTAAGTTTACAATTTTCTCTTTAATCCTTACCACATTTAATATATGAATAAGACTTGTTCAGAATTCAATCTGGACAAAACCATTCATTTCTAGGGATGATTTCACAATTTTTACTGCCTGATTAACTAACAGTGCAAATCAGCCTGCCCATCAGTGGATTGTTCCATATTAATTCAGCATGGCTAAGAAATGAACAAGTCTAAAATTTTCCCCATTGCTGTATGGACAAATGCATATCTACTAGACGCGGCTTGCAAGAGGCGTCTTATAAGTCCAACTTGCTGACATTTCTTTTTTTTGTCTTTTTTGATGGTAAGGTAAAATTTTCCATTCCAGTTGAGAACGATATGATATAGATGACAATTCCAAACTCATCAAGTGGCAGATATTCTTGTCAACTTATTCTCGAATGTGAATTGCACAATAGACCTACCTTCCCACACAGTAGCTTACAATGGCCACCATTCCAGAAGATTTTCTCCTGTCGGCACAGCTGTGAAGAGAATTCAGGTAAAATTTATTGATGTAATCTAAATGTTTCCAGGTCAAGGATTGTTAAGAAAAATTGATATATATTTCAAACAGAAATTCCAGGTAAAATGCGCAAATAAATTTTCTGATATTTGGTGTAATTTTAGTAAGTTTAAATAAATCGCACGTAAATGCTTCTAGGTCAAAAGTTAATGAAATTATTGTGTCCAACAACTCTGTAATAAAAAATAAAAACAAAAGTGAAAAGGAAAGGAAGTGGCTGCTCATAGAAAGTGACTGCTCTGAAAGGTGGATGTCAGATTCATTTTATTCAGAGAATTTAATTCTTTTAATGCACATGACATTTTATGTTTAAGTTAGAACTTGTGTAGAAATATTTTTTGTTGGAAGTTAATTTTTTATGCAAGTTCTAACCAACGTAGATGTTCACCCTGCAAAGTTAATGCTTTTTTATGTCATAAAAGTTTACCAAAAGTATGTTATCATTGAAAAACTTCCTTTACAGGCAACTGATATTGATAGTGGAGAGTTTGGTACAGATGGAATAAGATATGAACTCTATGGATCCTACTTAGATCTGTAAGTAAACGATATATTCTATAGGACACTGGTGTTTTTAAACCTTTACTTGCTGGAACAGAAAGTAATTAGCCTTTGAAATCAGTATAAAGCCAGACTAGCCTGTTTCACAGACAGTCTGAATCTGCAATGTATCTGAAATAATGCACAAAGACACATGGTTCCACTGTGCCTGAAATAATGCACAAAGACACATGGTTTCACTGTGCCTGAAATAATGCACAAAGACACATGGTTCCACTGCACCTGAAATAATGCTTAGAGACACCTATTTTCACTGTATCTCATATAATGTGCAAAGACTCATGGTTTCACTGTACCTGAAATAATGTGCAAAGACACCTAGTTTCAATGTACCTGAAATAATGCTCAAAGACACATAGTTTTACTCTACCTGAAATAATGTGCAAAAAACACATGGTTTCCCTGTACCTAAAATAAAAGGCATAAACACATGGTTTCAGTGTACGTGAAATACTGCTCAAAGACACATAGTTTCACTGTACCTGAAATAATGTGCAACACCAGATACAATATTTTCACCAGTGGCGTAGGCATGAGTGAAAATATAATAGCTGGTGTTCATAAGTGAAATATATTTCAATGTTACTTGCAAAACAAACAAATTTTCTAATTATTTCATGCTTTTTTAGTGATTTTAAGTCATTTTTACTTGGTATGACACATATTGCATGCGTTCTTTTTCATGATGTCATCACATCATGATGTCACCGTACCAATGTTGAAATTTAGTTCTGTAAAATTTTCCAATTTGTTACATTTCTAATACAATGTATGCGGTTATTTACTTGCTTCTCCTAAATAAAGCAAAATTTACATATGGCAGACTTTATTCCTGTTGATAATTCCAGTTAAGTAAGAAATAATTTCATCTGTATTCAAATATAGTGAAAACTATCTAATATAATTTAACTGTGAAAATTATCAAATATGATTTCACTTCCCACTGCAAAGCATGTAATAAATATTTGTATGTTTCAGATTCACAATTAACTCAGAAACAGGTTTAGTCGAGGTTGCTTCCTGCGATACATATGGTGTGAGGCCATGCTTAGACTATGACACTGCCCCTACTATTTATAGATTAACCATAAGAGGTGGGTAGCTTACCTTTTTATGGTACCTTTTGTCACTGTATTAGTAGTACAAAGTAGTAATGTTTCTGTTAGTATATCTCCAGAAGAAATTTCTTTAAACTTTACTCGAATGTTCACCTCAACAAAGCATTATGCAGAACCCATGCTGCTGCCAGTCTGGTTCAAGGTAAAGGTCATCCGTGAAAGTCAAATTTCAGGCAATTTTGTATCTGCTCTGTAATATCTAAACTCCTTGAAGAATTTTCTTGAAACTTAATGTCTCAAATGTTCACCACAAAATGGTGATGTGCAGAACCCATGCTGCCACTATGCTGGCTCCATGCCCAGGTCACCCATGAAGGTCAAATGTCAGACACTTCTGTATGAAATGGTAATTAAACAGAGGCACTGCATGAGGTTGAATAGCATAGAATTAAAAAAAAAATCAGAATTGTTTTTTAATATAGATTCAATTTTGTATAAAAATATCAAATAGCTTATGTGAAGCCGGCTGGTAATTAAGCAATTAAGCCATCTTGTATCAAGGTCTAGGTCACTTTTGCTATACTGGTTTATTTAACTTCAGTTAGGAACAACATATTTACATGAGAGTTTGTGTGCAGTTGGCTTATGTTATATATCCTGAGGTTTCTCTTTCAATTTGAGATGTTAGTCACCAACGCTATAAATAAGAATAATTGTTCTTATCTTATATTTCAGACATTAAGCATGTTCAGGTGGCTTAAAAATATATTATGCTTTAATTTGATATTTGAAGATATTGATAAAAATCACGAAGCATCTATGTAATTGTAAATAAAAATGTATTAAGTACACATAGAAAATTGTTTCTTACTTCTTAAATTGTGTCTTTAACAAAAGTATGACCTAATAGTTAGTCAAATTCCACAGAAAGGGTGACAGTTTGATTAAGCTGTTGAATTGAAAAATGACTGAAAATGATTTTTCTCCACTTTTAGCAAGGGACAGTAAAGGAAGTCTAAATGGGAAGTTTTCAACGGTGTCTCTGAACGTATATTTGACAAATGCACATTAACGATAATCCACCTGTGGTTGGAGATTATGAAAAGAGAAAATAATAGAGAATAAAGAGAATTTGATCCAGAACTTAAAGTACAGGTAAATTTTTTAGAGAATATTCATTATAACATTTTTAGGGTGAGGGACCTTGGTTGGAGTTTGGGCTATTTCTCCATGTTCTTGGTCTAACGCAAGTTATAAAACAGAAACAAGAAACACTTGCCCCTTAATGCTACGAGTTTGAATCCTTCCTT